TGTGGCTCAAGTGGTAGAGTGCTAGCCTTGAGCTGAAGGGCTCAGGGACAGCACCCAGGCCCAGAGTTCAGGCCCCACGACTGGACCCCCCCCCCAAAAAAAAAAAAAGCTCTCAGTGAGGTTTTTAACTTCTGTTTTAGAGCATTGTTTCTAGAATGTCTATCCAGATGAAATGTTCTTCCCTCATTTGCACCTGGGCTGTATCATGACCTGAGTGTTGTAGGTAGAAATCAAGCCAGGGAGGCCTATACACAAGGTACTGGCATATCAGTGGCATAGGGAATTTCATCAGGGTCTGTGCCCACTCTCTAAAATCTGATTTTCTAGTTTTAAGTTGGAAGTCATTTTCTGTTTTCTTTTTAAACCAGGCCTTCAACAATGCTGGGCAACAGGCCTGCCTTCTCCTATTGCCTGGAAGCAGAAGCCTAGTGCAACAAAAACATTCTGGCCTACAACTCAGCAGCCCTGGGCACTTTTTCCTGTTGGCCCAAAAAATTTTGTCATGATCTTTCCAGATTCCAAATGCAGACATCTTTTGGTGCCTTCTTTATCCTCTTGCCCCACCATGCACAAGTGCACTGTTGTGGGAAGCGGTGTGTCTGAGAACACCACCCATGTCCATGTGGCCCAGGTCCTTTGACACATCACAGTCCTATGGTCAGTGTTCTCCAGCCATATTTGCCTCTAGAAGAGATAAATGGCGCCATTGTGCCTCTGCTAGCTCCAGTGTTGGATGTGCCTATCCCCAACTCTCACTTTTCACCTTGGTCATGTATCATTATGTGTTGTGATATTTACCTGTATGGCCCTCCATCTGCTCAGCTGCAAGCTTTTTATGGGCCAGGCCCATCTCCAATGGATTCTTGCAGCATCATTCTATGGAGGTGGTAGTGGTGTGTATGTGTGCTTATTTTTTGTTTGTTTTCTTTTATTATTAGAAATGGTATTCTTCTGAAAACACTACAGTGTCCTGACTTAGAGTAGGGGCCTCGTTAAACCAGATGTGGTTGACGGGGTTAGGGTTGGTATGCACAGGTTGCAGAGGTTTGTTCTAGGATAATGCCAGCACCTGGTAGGCCTTGAATGGAGGTAGACTCTGCCTCTTTCCTCCTGAGACCACTGACAAGCCCTGCCTTTATCCCCTTGCATCCTGCCAGATTCTGCAGAAGGTTCTCCAGGGCTGCCGAGAGAACATGCTGGGGACCATGGCTCTGGCTGCCTGCCAGTTCATGGAGGAGCCCGGAATGGAGGTGCAAGTGAGGGAATCCAAACACCCATATAATAACAACACCAGCTTTGAGGTATGGCCCTTACTTAGCAGCTCTTCTCCCATTAGCCCTGACCAAGAATGCATTTCCTTCCACTAGGTGGCAGTCACCTCCCAGAAGCCAGGGATCCTGTATAACCAAGTCTCCCCTTCTCTTGACCTTCAGTGTTATAATAAGAAAAAAAATGGGCCACTGGCTCCAGAGTTGACTTTTCTTACAGTAAGTTGCTGAGAGTGAATCCTTGGCCTCTTCCAGCAGTGAGTCTGCCTGTGGATCTAGGTTCATCCTTGTGTATTATCTTCTGATGACTTGGCCACCCATGTCCCTTTTAATTACCTAAAACTAAAAATTCTCATGTTTTCTATACTTAAACTTGTATCTGATGGAGAGGGAGGAGTTTGGGTGAGTTGGATAGGCAACCTCAGTTACCTCTCATCAACTTGATGCTATGTGACTTTCCTTAACCCTTTAGAAATGCTGAAGCTAGCCAGCTGCCATGGTTCACGTCTATAAATCCTAACTGCTCGGAGATTGAGATCTAAGGATTTTGGTTCAAAACGAGTCTCCAGGGGGCTGGGAAGGCACTTGCCTTGTATGCATGAGGCCCTGGGTTCGACTCCTCAGTACCACATAAGCAAAAAACAAGCCAGAAGTAGCGCTGTGGCTCAAGTGGTAGAGCGCTAGCCTTGAGCTGAAGAGCTGAGGGACAGCGCCCATGGCCAGAGTTCAGGCCCCACGACCGGACCCAAA